CCGCCGAAGAACTGGAGGCGCTGGGCATAAGCTGGTCTCACGGGCTGCTCCTCGAACACTCCCTCGTCCTCGTCCTCGTCGTCGTATCCGAACTCGTTCTTGAGGAGCCGCTCGGGGAAGGCCACGTTCTCCTCGGGCGCCGGGTACTGGTTCCTCGGCTGGAAGGCCTGCTGCCGCGAGTCCCGCATCCTTCTGCCGTGAAAGAGGGCGGGGAGAGAGAGATGGGAAACGCATGAGTACAGAAGGGAAACGGCCTGAGACAGGAACTATTGAGAACAGGGAGGGGAAGGGGGAAAAAGGGAATTGGGGAAGGGAAATTGAGACGTATGAGGAATTGGGGAAGGGGAGGGGGGGAGGAACAGGAGAACTATGGGGATATTGGGAAGGAAGAGAGAACTATGAGAATTGGGGAAGACAGTGAGAACTATGGGGAAGGAAGGGACAGTGAGAACTATCGGGATATTGGGGAAGGGAAACAGGCGTAAAGGGAATTGGGAAAGGGAAATTGATACGTATGAGGAATAGTGAGAACTATGGAAGGGAAGGAAGTGAGTTGAGAACTATGGGAATTGGGAAGGGACAAGAACTAATTGGGAAGTGAAACAGGCGTAAAGGAATTGGGGAAGGGAAATTGAGACGTATGAGGAATGGGAAAGGACAGTGAGAACTATCGGGATATTGGGAAGGACAGTGAGGCGTAAAGGGAATTGGGGAAGATAAATTGAGACGAATGAGGAATTTGGAAAGAGAAATTGAGATGTAAGGCGAATTAGGGAAAATAAATTGAGATTTAAGAGGAATTGGTTAAGAGAAATTGGGACGATTGAGGATTGGAGGAGAGAAATTGAGACGAATGATGAATGGGAGGAGAGGAATTGTGACGTATGAGGAATTGGGGACGAGAAATTGAGACGTATGAGGAATTGGGGAAGATGAGGGAGAAGTATGCGGAATTGGGGAAGAAAATGAGACGTATGAGGAATTGAGGAAGAGAAATGAGAAGTATGAGGAATTGGGGGAGAGGAAATTAATAGTAGGAATTGGGAAAGAAAAACTGAAAAATACAAGAAGTAGGGGAAGATAAATTGAGAAGTATGAGGATTTGGGGACGATATAAGGAAAGGTTTCAGACATCAGGAAACAGAGGTGGAAAAGTAATAAGAAATCAGAGAAGAGAAATTTGAACAGAATATATCATTATGAGGCATTAAGAAAGAGAGAAGGAGAGAGATATGAGGGACTGGGGGAGAGAAGCAGGAAAAGTGCACAGAATACGAGAAAAAAGATGAAAAATATATGAGGAATTGGGGGAGATGGAAAAATACATGATAAATTTGGGGAGAAAAGTTGAAAAGAAATATAAGGAATTGGGTGGAACAAATCACGAGAAAGAGAAATGAAGAAAAATATATACTAAAATGAGCAATTGTGAGAAAAATGAAAAATAAGTGAATGAAATAATGAGATAGAAAATGGAGTGAATTAGCGAAATGACCGTTAAAAGAAAGATAGAGAGCATGGGGAGACATGATAGATAAGATGGAAAGCTGTGATGAAAAGTTAAGATAGAAAAAATACAATGGATAGAGGGAAGAAAACTTGATTAATTAGCGAGAGAAAGCAAGTGGTAAAAAGAGAAAAGACAATAGAACCCATTTATGAAAAAGATGGAGAATGCATAGAACGAAAATAAACATCCCCCCTCCAAAAAAGAAAACGGATTTGTTAAAAAAAAAAGAAAATGGTAGATGAGGGTAAACTAAAGAAGATCGCGGAATGTTTTAATTCCCCGTCCCTTTTCACTTTCCCTCATCCCGACCCTTTTAAGTAGGGGTTCTGAAACTGACTGCCAACATAATCTCAAAAACTTCTATTCCTCAATCCTAGCATAAATCGCAATTAAAACCTATGAAAGTTCAGAGGCGTGCGTATTGGAGAGCGAGAGAGAAAGGAATGGAGGGAGAGAGCGAGTCTGTGTGGGTGTGTATGTGTGGGTGTGCGTGCGTGTCCGTGTGTGTGTGTGTGTGTGTGTGTGTGTGTGTGTGTGTGTGTGTGTGTGTGTGTGTGTGTGTGTGTGTGTGTGTGTGTGTGTGTGTGTGTGTGTGTGTGTGTGTGTGTGTGTGTGTGTGTGTGTGTGTGCGTGTGTGTGTGCATTCAAAATACATTTTTATACCTTTAAATATCACTCAAAATACACAGTCAATACACTAACAGCAATCAGAAATATTCTATCCCTATAAAACCCGCATATGATTATTCCAACACATGAATTACAGTTTAGGTTCTCTGCATCGTGTTACAAGCCACCCAGACTGGTATTGCACATGTCCTTCAGCAAGTAACATAGGTGGTTATGGAACAGCCAAGTCCTTTAGCAACCAACCCAGAGAGAAACTAGAGTAGTTAAACAACAGCTGAGTAATTCAGAAGCCAACCACACGTAGTTACTCACTTGAGGAGTCCCTTAGCGAACAACCCACTTATTAACCACTTGTCAAAT